AAAAAATAAGAGGAGAAAATAAATCTGATGAATGTGTAGCAACAATTGAGACAATGATATATACGTTGAAATTAACAGATGATGAACTAACCCAAAGCCTGAAGTACTTTATCATCATTGATTACCAGTGGCGTTTTTACTTTCTTCTTCGAAAGGCTTTTCGAATTCGCAGTCTTAGCAAGTTCCGCGTCGCTTGTTGGCAATGCTGGACGACTGCAAACAAGCCCAAATAACCAGGCAGCACTATTCAACAAAATGAGACAATAATATAAAGTTTTCGACGATCCTTGCACGCACTGTAAACCGTACGAAAATGACTTTATATACACACGATTACAACGTTGCGATTGAAATGATCAGTTTTCATTTGATTTTATTCACAACCAACGAATTGATGAATGAAGAATCATCAATCGCAAGTAACTCGCAAATACCTTGTTGCGAATTTCATTTTCAGTGTTTCGAAAAGTCTTTCGTTAGCGAATTTCTCCTCGGAGGTTTGCGCCCAAAATGAATCTTTCGCTATCTGAGTTGGTTTGATCTGAAATGGAAACACTGGGTCAAAGGAGGCGAATATAATGAAACAGAAGGTTACAATGCAATAATAAAGCAGATGATATGCATATGAAACAAATAACAATCAAGAGGTCACATATGAATTTAGAACATATAACAATCAACAGATTACATATGAATTTCTAAATTACTCAATTATGTTCAATGAAAAAAGGAATGCACGTCGTACCGTAGCAGAACTCCAAGCGATCTTCTTCAACGGTACATCAACGCTTCGTTGCGCTTTCCTCTTCAAATACTCCGGTATTTCAGGAGTTGCTGGTGCTGATTTGGACATACCAAGAGGAGGCGGCGGTGGAGGGCCCTTCATGCCGGGAAGTGGCGGAGGGGGTGGCGGTGCTGGCGGACCACCGCCTATTCGCAAACTTCCTGCAAAAATAAAAAACATAAGTGATTATTTGATTGATTACGAACAGAAGGTTGCGAACCGAGAGAAACGAAAAAAAAACTCGAAATCTCCCTACCTGGTGGAGGTGGTGGGGGTGGA